AACAAAATGGTACGTCTATATTTAGCGATTGTTATTGTGATATACTTACCCTTATTCGATAGATCGTGGATGAGGCCAAGCGTGCGCTGCATGACGCTCTCTGTGCCGTTCGCAACCTTGTCGTCGACAATCGTGTCGTATATGGCGGTGGTTCTGCCGAGATCAGCTGCTCACTGGCTGTTTCAAAGGCTGCAGATGAGATTCCCTCAATTGAGCAATATGCTATGAGGGCATTCGCGTCGGCACTGGACGCCGTCCCTCTCGCGCTTGCGGAAAACAGTGGTTTGTCACCCATTGATACCCTTGCTCAGGTGAAGAGCCGTCAAGTCAAGGAGGGTAACCCTACATTGGGCATTGACTGCCTTGGGAAAGGCGAAAATGGTAAGTACATATCCCTGTCTTCTAACATTATTACCGTCTTGACAATGTGCTTTTTAGATATGAAGAAGCAAAATGTGTACGATCCCCTTATCTCGAAGAGGCAGCAGTACCTGCTTGCGACACAACTCGTCCGAGCAGTACTGAAGATTGGTAAGTCTCATACTTGTCTGGTCGTTAAGACACTTTCTTATGGGTTGGTACAGATGACGTTATCGTTGCTGGGGAGGCTGAGGAATAGGCAGTCATTTGTAGAACATAATAGAACATAGCATAATATTCATCGATGCTTGCATCTCATCTTAAGTGGTTGGGGACAATAAGTATGTAGGATTAGTAGTGGGTAAGTAAGCGAGGTCTAGGTATAAACAAGTGACATCCAAGCAAAACGATACGAGATCTAGGCTGAATCACGTCTAAGGCTCTCCAGCATCCTTTGCTTCCTTCTTTTTTGCATCATTGTCTGCGGAAGAGACTACCTTTTCTTCCTTCTTCTCACCTTTCTCAGCTGGTGTCTCACTCGCCGCAGAGTCATCCCCGCCTCTGACGTCCCATTCCTTTATGCCAATCTTTCCACCAAGCTTCCTCCACCTCTCCAAGTACGTCTTCTTCCTCTCCTCGCACATCTTTACCAATGCGTTCCAATATTTGTCATGGTCGTACACGAAGTCAATCTCTCCACCGAACTCTTTCCAGACACCATCGGGTTTGAAGATGCCTTCTTCGACAACTTGAGGGTTAAAGCGCATCTTGACGCGGGTCACGGGGTCGACAAAGGGCGTGATGAGCTTGAAGAAGGCGTTGATGAGCCAGGGAACGTTGATGATAATGGCACGGCCTAAATGTTCTGGGTAGTGAGTCTGCAGGATGTCTAGTACCTATCATACGTAGATGTTAGTGTTCATTTTATCAGTAAGCGTGATAGAAAGTGAATGAACCTGTTTTGAAGTTCCGAAGGATGGGTTCTTGGCTCGGTCTGCAAAGTTGATCATGAGGTTCAAAGTCCTACAGGAACCACGTAACGTTAGTGAAACTCGAGCTCGACGCATACAATACGATGAAACGTACTCTACACCCGGGCCCATCTGGTCTATCACCCGCTCAAGCAGCCAGAAGCAGAACTCAATCTGCCTCTTACTCTCTTCCGTATTCTGACGACTTGGAACAAGGTACAGAGCAGGTCGACCGTCGACGTCGAAACCCCATGAAATCATTTTGCCCGTCACGGCCTATGACGCGTCCAAACGCGTTCAGAATTCATTGGAGGACAGAAGCGAGATATTGCGTACCTCTGGCTCGACATGTTCGGCATTGACGTGGTCATATAGACCGAATTCGCGTCTCCATCGAAGGGTGCCTTCTATCCTCTTGATAGCCACGTCTGCTCCTGCCCATTTTGTAGCGCGGAGGTAGCTGACATTGCGATGTTATGAGCAATTTGAAAGTGGAATAGCATCGTCATTCGGGCGTACCGAAGTATACATTCATAGCTCTGTCATTGCCAAATCACAAACTTAGTACGAGCATAACCCAATCATAGCATACAATACGTACCAGCCAATATTTCTCCAGCTCACTCAACTCCCCATCCTCTACCTCAGGCAACTTGTACCCCTCCTTCGTGAAGTGCGCCAGCACCGCATCGACGTGCTTTTGTTGCGCTGCTGTCAAGTCCGTACCCTGCGGTTTGGCGACACCACGGAGGTCAGGTACGGGGATCGGTTCTGACATTTGCACCACCATGTCTGAGTACAGTGTAACAGAGAACTAGTTGGGGGAACAGGGAAACCTGAGGGGACACGCGAGTCGACGAGTGCCACGAGGGATGAGAAGAGGAGACCCTGGACGACGGATGTATTCTCGGTATTCTCGTGGCGCGTCCTATTCCCGTCGACGAAACACAACGTTGCCTTTTACAAATTCCAGACAAATTCCCCGTACTGTGCCATTTCTGCCAAGGCCGAACATGATCGCTGTAAGTGGAAATGGTGTCATATTTACCAGAATGTCAGGAGGCAAGGGTTACAGTTGTGTTTAGTACAGTTGACGGCGGTGAGTTGAATTATATGTAATGATGTGGTTGTGTATATAGATATGATTCTCATAGAGAACTCGAAAATACAAATTGTTGCTGGCTAGAAGTCGATTTGGGTCGGATCCAACATAAGATCGAGTGTAAAATTGAATGTCTTTCTATATAGAACATTGAGAGCGGAAGCCTGAAGGTGTGATCCAAAAAGGATGTATTCATGGTATGTATCAAAGGTGATAATCGTAGTGGTACACTAGAGTACAACGGGAAGGCCAAGATTATACGTGAGGAGGGTATACGATATCCAGCGAGTGAGTATCAGATAAGCAGAGCAAGAATGCAAGCAGGAGAAAATACGACGTAGATGGGAGGGAGTATGATGAGGTTGTACATTTTAAAAATTTGCTGCGATGAGCACATACAACAGTTGCTGCATGATAAATTAGGGTTCCGCGTGCGAGTCGGGTAGAACGGTTGGAAAGATAATAGTTGAGATGGTGCAGATGGGGCGCACGGGCGATGGATATTGGATGGCCGCGAAGAGTATAGATGTGGCGTAGGTTAGAGGTTTCACGCTAGCGTAACAATGTTAGCTCGAAGTGAAGAGATGTCCACAACCTCAATCATGCTCACCCCATCTCATAGGAACTCGGAAACAGATTCCAACAGAACCTTCGGCTTCACGAGCAGGCTTCTAGTCATGGTTCCATCAGGAGCAGCATGGGATTTCGCGGACCCATTCATAGGCCCATGTCCGTTCGCTTTGCCATTGACGTGACCATTCGCACCTCCATTCGCCTCTTTATGATCTCCGTTCACACCATTGACAGGAACGCCATTCGCTCCATTCGCCATCGTCTCTGCACTCAACCTTCTCACACAGATCAGCCCAAACTCGACAGTACACAGCACGCCAGCTTTCTCGGACCCATGACCCGCATATACATTCTCCATCAGCGTCTTGTCAAACCCTCCGTCGCTGGTCGGAGCAGGTTTCCCAGCGCCGACCCATACAACTTCAAAGGAAGCTGACATGACACCTTCTCGAATGGCAAGCGCAATGCGTTCTGCACGTTCGCCTATGCGGATTAGCGATGGACCGAAGCGATCGCGAAGGGGCTCTCGATGGAGTGCACGTTTATCTGTACACCCGGAGAGAGCAAGAATGGCGAGGAGCCCACGAAGGTTGGTATCCATGAGCTTGAAAAAGGGTGAGTTGGATGGGTTCACGGATGCTTGTGAGGAGACCAGCGCGCGAGAGTGAGCATGGGTGAGTGCTCGCCAACGAGACGTCGTCGGTTGAGGTTCTGTACAGTCGAAGGACATGAGCAATGATATCATTGTACAATTGCAAATTTCAGACGTACCTAACTGATGCATGTGCTGGAAGACCCTCTGCAATACCTGGTCGACATCAGGTGGCAGCCCGAAGCAGAAGGACTCGAGCACCCTTCCAATACAGACAACTTCCCAAGCCTGAATCGCGAATTGGACCAGGGTGGGATCGTTGCTGTGGTCCTTTGAGGCGAGCAGCTTTGCCACTGTTGGGCCCATCGCACTCGAGATGAGGTCCTCGTCGGATTGACGAGCTGCATGCCCTCGACGATCGAGAGACCCTGAGAACTCTTCAGCAACGGAGGCAGCAACTTGGACAATCTCTGCGTTGAGATCACGCAGGGCCTGAATGAGTTGCGCCCCCGAGTACTCGTCCGTCTTGCTGAGGAACGTCTTGAGACTCGCCACTTCCTCCGTGCGGTCTAACAGCGCGCGGTGGGTATGAGAATACGAGGTCACCAACGCATCATACGTGCTCCGCAACGCCTCCGCCTCTGTCGGTGGCGACGAGGGCAGCCCCGGCGGTGCGCCGGGTGTTGTCCACGGGGCAACGATGGAATTGAGGGTGGTTATGGTCTGCCTGGATGCGTCGAGGTCGCTCTGCAACTGAGTGATCTTCTGCTGCAAGAGCGCATTCTCGCGTTCGAGAGCGAGTATCTTCTTCTGCTCCCTGTCCCTCTCCAGCTCTCTCTCTCTCTCCCGCTCCCGCTCGCGTTCTCGCTCTCGTTCGCGGTCTCTGTCCTTTTCCCGCTCCCGCTGCCAATCCCAACCCCTGGAGCGATCCACGGCCGCGGAGTGCTGCTGGTCGGACGTTCGGAACCTGTGTGGGGGATATGAAGGCGGTAGGATGCCGGTCGTGGCGAGGTGTGACGAGCGAGTGTAGGAAGCGTGGTGGTTATCAGCGAGTGCCTCTGGGTCGTCCAGATCGTCAGATAATCGTATGGAGGGTAGAAGCCAATCAAGTAGATTCCAGAATGAGTTCATCAGTTTGGGAAATTGCGAGGGACCTTTTATTCGTCGGGAGGCATACAGGTAAGCTGGGCCTAGGATTGCGTCTGAGACCGGCGGTGCATTGAACAGCGATCAAGATGTATTAGCTGTAACCCGCAGGATGTCTCCAGGGCTCTGAGAATACAAAAGGGGCTATCTCCAGGAAAGTGAGATAACACGTCGTCATGAACGAAATGAAAGTCGCTCGAAACCCCCAATCCCTCCTCCCTGCTGCCTCATGCCTCTGCTCAAAATAGTGCAAAAATGGACGCTGGGAGGATTGAACTCCCGACCTCATGCAAACAAGTCATCGGTTCTTGCAAAGCATGCGCGCTACCACTGTGCCAAGCGCCCATGATCATGGGAACAATTATGTGTTTCCTCAATGACGTTTCAGTCATTACTGTCTGCCCTCCTACGTTACCAGACGTTACCTTACAACGATTGTCTTTTGTACAAATTGTAGTCTTCTCCGTGTGCTCCGTTGTGACCGTGTGGTATACCTTCCCGTCCTTTGTGGCGAGGGTACAGGTAGTCTCCTCCACAGACAATCACAGAGAAGACAATCATTCTCTGTAGTAGTTGACAGGATGGTCAGGAGTCACGATCAGAGCAAGGACATCGGGGTTGGTGATAGTGTCAGTCCTCACAATGTATCCGTTTCTTATTGTGAGCACATGCGGGACCCGGAGTAGGTTTGTATGGGACACAACAACCTCAACCCGTCACTGGAAGTGTTTCAGATTCGGTCGGAACTCTATCTGAACAGGCTTGTACTTACAGTTCCCTCTTGAATTTGATCCTCTGCGACTCCGCAGTAAACATTGACAAGGAGATCATATGCACGCTCTACATAGCACAGGTATGAGGGCAATCGAGGGAAGAGGCTATGTTGAAGGTTCTGACCGAAAGCGGAGGATGCGTCATTGCATGGGAAGTGGGATGTCATGTAGGCGAAAACGTCGCCCAAGAGGTGAGTCTTCACCATATGAGATAGACATTGTAACTCACAGCGTATATTTGGGTGATTGACGTACACCGGCGCCCTATGACCAGGGCAGCGTATTGGCATACCCAGCATTCCCTGGTTTCTGACGCTACTTGATTAACAAGTGCCTACCATCTATTCAGAAGAACGTGGAACAAGTACATTATAGTCGTACAAGCAAGTCATATCTGCGCTATCTCATGAGCTCGCGAGACTCATGGAGGTACCCATGTGAGGCGTGAGGCAAAGCGAAGTCAGTGATAATATTGGTAAAGATCTGTGAATGGGATCTGCAGATGGTAGCGTTGCATTATACTGCAGGACAAACTCGTCAAACACCACCATCCCTAACTTTGTAGTTCTGGCCAGCAACAGCACCGAGCGGAGGAGCACCTCTGACATCGGAAGCATTCTGACTCGTAGTCTCATTCGTCCTCCTATTCTTCTCTAAGAACAGGAAGCTTGTAACGACAGCGTTCATGTTCTTCTGTGCCTGAGAGTCAAGTAGAAGCTGAGCTTCTGTCCAAATTGGGGGGAGAGACTTGTCTTCCGGATTGGGAAGACGGCGGGGAGCGACGAAGCGAGCTATGGGGGCGGGGGAATCTGGTCTTGTCGCGTACAGCTGAAGTATTGCCATTAATCATGGTGTAAATCTAACAAAGTGGGCCGAATAGACTTACCTCGAGAGATCGGCCAGGCGAGTAACCTTTCCACTTGAAGGTCTTGCCATCCTCATCAGTGAAGGTGACGGAGCTACGTCCCAAGCATCAGCATCCGGATTTGTCAAAGTCAATTTAGATTGTGAATCACCCACCTATTGAAAGGAATTAGGCTTTTCTTCAACCAATCCCAAAGCGAAATAGCCTTCTTCGTTCCAATGGTCACTTTATCCGCGAGCATATCCCTCCATTCCAACGACGCAATCACATCGTTGTTCGCATCGCGGACTTGCGTGATTGTAGCCTTGTCCGTATGCTCCGTTATGACCGTATAATACACCTTCCCGTCTTCGGTAGCAAGCGTACAGTTGACAGGGTTGTTAGGGGTCATGACGAGGGTGAGGACATCAGAACTGGTGGTGGTTTCGGCAGTCATGATAATGGGTCAGTTAAGTGTATATGTGTGCGGGGGTGAGGGTGTTCTTGATCTTGGTGGTATATGCGGGGTAGGTTATATAAGGTATGAAATGTAGATACTTAGCCTCGAGACGTCACCGGATGTAGTTAAATACCCCAGGGTCGGGGGTCGACTCGGAACAATGTACGACTGCGCAGCTCTCGTCTGTGCCTTGATCGTGCACGACCACACCCAAAGAGACCTGAAAGAGCCTGATCATGATGAGAGAGTTGTCCGGAGAGACCCTGGTCACATAGGAATGAATGCTGAAGCTGTACGGCCGCTCAACCCGAGATCGATTGTATCGGAGGTCTTTCGAATGCCTCCTCGAATTTCCATGATCACATTTGTTCGCGGACTCAGGGAGAGTCAATGTACAGGATATCGCATTCGGATGCAGCAGCAGAGCCGAACAGAGTGGACTCACCTGACCAGGTATGCGCGGTTCACTTGAGATCCTTGGTAAGTTGGTTGCTCCGCAGTAAACCTCTGCATGATGAAGGCATCCGAGGGCAAGTTGCAACAGGCTGTACTCAAGACTCTGACGGCAACCGGAAGCGAAGATTCAACTGCACAATGACAACAAGTACAAGACGCAGCAATGTCGCCCAAGATGAGAGTCGCAGTATAGATGTTCTGAGATCTGAACGTTGAACGTTGAATTCAACCGCGAAGAGAATGAGATCACTGCTAAGTTCAGCGGTATTTTTTCAAATGATTATGAATTGTCGCGAGCTACAGTTTCCTCGATCTGTGCAGCCGCCCTTCGAACGAGCACAAAATAGATTTTATCAAGCATCTTCTCCCCAGGTCAAATTAAGTATAAGGTACCGATAGATACATAGTAGGTTGTACTAAGTGAGTTAGTTGACTGCCGTCGAAAAATATAAAGGCAAGCACAACCGAAGGTATATATAGCATAAAAAAGCGGAACCCTCCGCGAACCAAGATAAACTTCGCAAGCATTGTCTGTCGTCCAAGCACTGCTCTGAATATTAGCATTAATGGGGACCTTGGCGTGCTTCCTTCTAGTAGTACACCTTTTTCGTATGGTGAGATGGGGAGTTTGGGGCCGCGCAAACCACATAGGAGGTTTACTCCTGCTTGCCCTTCTTCTCGGCGGCTTTGATCTCAAGAAGTGGGTCAAGCTCCTTGGCCGGTTGCCTGTAGGAGTCGTACATGCGATCCGCCCAGGTGAAGTACTGGCCGTAGTTGACGGTGAAGAACATATGGTGCAATGTGTGGTGTGCGGGACCGTTGATGACGGTCTCGAGTGGATGGTCAGTGATCATGTCAGAGTCGTGAATCTAGAGGGGCGCACAGGGATAAGCCAATCAAACTTAAAGACAAAAATGGGAACGACTCACCAAAATGGTCCAGAAATTGATGAGCACGAACATAACTAGGTAGAGCGTGCGGTGGAAGGGGAACATGAAAATAAACAGGTGATAGGGAATAGATTGCGCATATCCGTCCAAGGGATGGAATGCATGTGAGGCAAACGGCGTAGGAACTGCATCAAAGGTTAACCAACGATCAAACAAGATAATACGACTGGATACTTACTGATCCACTTGTGGTGCGGCTTATGAAGCCACTTATAACAGATAGGATGATGTTCCCAACGGTGGATCCAATAGATGCAGTAATCCGTGAAGACAAGATAACTGACGAGAGGGGTTAGCGATGTCATTGAGAAGTGCGCGAGCAGGATACTCACAGCAGGATGGAGAAGCCGAAATATGCCCAGCCGTAATCTGAGACGTTGTCATACAGCATTGAGTAGCCCCGTACTTCGGCTACAAACCATGGCAGGGTCAAAGCCATCATGCCAGGGAATGCTTTCACGCTACACATGATCTCCTGTCTGACCTGATTCTTGAGGAAGCGGGGGTGCTTCATCATCTCGTGGTTAAAGATGAAGTAGTACGAAAGGCTGGCAAATATGAAGTAGAGGAGGTGAATGCCAATCATTGTGATGGCCGTGAGTGAAATGGCCTGTCGCAGAATGTAATCTCGAGGCCATGCCGATGTGGAGGGCATCGATGTAGATGGGAGAGAAAGCAGAACATCTTCAATAGGAGGATGAGGGAGATATGACACTAGATGCGACCACTTCGAGCCAAGGGCACCAGCCACCAGAGGGAGGTGTGAAGACGACGCGTTGAGCCCTGACGAGACGGACGCATTCAGTGACGATACAAAGGCAGACGCCGGGACTAGTTGAGCGTAAAGTTTATCAAGGAGATACTCGTCGGCGATGTCCAAGACGAGATCCATGGCGACCTGCTACCCAAGTGAGTCGATAAAAAGGGGGAGGTCTGGGGCGTCGCTGGCTGCGAGGATGGAGGCGGAGGTAACGAGCGTATGCAACGCAACGAACGGCGAGGAAAAGATGCGAGCTGCTATTTATTCTGAAATCCTCCTGGTCAGACCACTTTCAGATTATTCATAGCAGATGACCAACATTGCCTTACCAGGCAATAGATTAGATAGCCGCTCGCGGTCTCGTTCCCGATAACGTTGCCGACAACGCCGAGGCCCGTGTCTTTCCACCCCATCCGACTCTTTCCTCGACGCTGCTCGCCCGACGCCCTTGCTCTGTCCCGCATCCGCTCACAGAGCTTGCGATGCCCCCCCTGCATCTTCAGTGCCTCTGAGTAGAATTGTGCGACGTTCGGCCTACGGTGTCGGCACAGTATCTGGCCTCAAGTCTCGACGTTCTCGAGAGGGCCATGCGACAGTCCATGGAATTAAAGTCGTATGATGATGGATGCTATTATTCCTTGGATGCCTCCAGGATGCCTCTAGGGTCACGGCAGCACCCTCTCGGCCAAGTCTGGGGCGCAGCAAGCAGTCCAAATCTCGGGTATAAAAAGCTTTCGGGGCCTCTACAACATGGTGTCGACATCCCTTCATGATCACTCCTCTAAACCTATCTCATCTTCGTCAGGGAGTGGGGGAATGATAGCTCCTCCTGCTAGGGAACAAGGGGATAGGGGGAATGCAAAGAAAGGGTTGGTCTGGTTCGCTTGACGCAGTACCCTGGTATTTGTATGCAATCGCGCGTCTGGAGTGACTATTCGTTCGATGACGCTTTCCTGGCCCAAGCAGACTACCGCAGTTGTCTGATTTCGTATATATCACTCTGTAGTACTTTCACGAATCGTGCCATAATGTATTGGTATGGCTTGTGAACTCCCTGCGTTGGTAGCCTGTGCATGGGAATGCTGGTATCGAGGTTGTGAAA